AATACCCTATTACTGTAGCACCTATGTGTCCACTTAGGTGCTACTCAGTTAATACCAGTTTGCTGGAGAATATATCTGGTGCTTGTTTTTCCAATCTTGGGATACTTCACTTAGTAGTATGGGTTCCAGCTCTAACCAGGAAAATATAAGGTGTGCTATATCACCATTGTTTCTTAGTATATATATTCTTAATAGATATAATAAGAAGGTATTTATTATAAGGTCTTGATTTTATGCAATTGAGAGTAAACAGTCTGTAAGAAGCTGCTGCTCTGTGTCTGATGCCCTTCACCTTATAAAAGAAAATGCCTGCCTTCGCTATACTTTTCCTTCCAAATATCATGCATAATGTCCTTTTCTGGCACTCCTAACTCAAAACCGTGCAGACAAGGGAATGCTAGGGAATACAGATCCTATTTAAGTGGGCATAATCTACTACAATCATTTTCATTTAAATGCCTATAAAATATTTCCTGAAATGCACATACTGTATTCTCATCACCCTACTCAATAAATGAGTATTTGGAAATGCTGAGATGTCTAGTAGTATTTGTGTATATTCTATTATTTTGCACACTGCCTCTAGGGATCATGGTGTTTGGCATTTGTTAAACTGTCAAAACTTACTGATTCTCCTGCCATTTTACCTACTTTCTCCTATTATACTTTGCTTCAGGTCTCAGCTTATGTGGAAGGTCAAGGAGAAATCTCTGATTTTCTAAAACTGGTTTGTGGTCCTTCATGTGCTCCGAAAGCAACCTGTATTAGCTCTGCTCTAGCACCCTTACTTTCCAATGTTCTCACCTGTGTGTATAGGGTAAGTATCTGTCTGTGTCTTCACTAAATTCTAAATTACTCAAGGGCAAAATATCTCGCTTATTGTTGGATCTCCAGTTCTTAGGAGAGTTATTGACATATATGTCATTATCACTGGGGTGAGGTGAGATCTCACTTTAGTTTTGATATGTATTTCTTTGATGATTAGTGATGTTGATCATTTTTCATTTGTTTATTGGCCATTAGTTTATCTTCTTTTGAAAAGTTTCAGTTTATATCTTTTGCCCATTTTTTAATGGTGTTTGATTTTTTTGTAGCTGATTTGCCTGAGTTCTTTGTAGATTCTGGGTTTTAGCCCTGTATCAAATCCATAAATGTGATTTACCACATAAACAGAAGAAAAAAACCAAGATCATATGATCATCTCAATAGATGCAGAAAAGCACTCAAGAAAATTGAGCACGCTTTTGTGATAAAAACTCTTAACAAAATAGACAAAGATGAACATATCTCAAAGTTATAAAATCCATATATGACAAACCCACAGCCAACACAATACTGAATGGGGAAAAGTTGAGAGTATTCCCACTCAGAACTGGAACAAGACAAGGATGCCCACTGTCACCAGTATATTCAACATAGTGCTGGAAATCCTAGCCAGAACAATCAGGCAAGAGAAGTAAATTAAAGATATTCAAATGGGGAAAAAGGAGGTGAAACTATTTCTCTTTGCTGATGATATGATCTTTTACCTAGAAAACTCCAAAGATTATGCCAAGAGGCTTCTGGAATTCATAAATTTAGCAAAGTCTCAGGCTACAAAATCAATGTATACAAATCAGTAGCATTCCTATGCATTGGCGACAGTGAAGTTGAGAGTCAAATCAAAGACTCAATATCTTTCACAATAGCTACAAAGAAAAAAAAATAACCAAGAATATATTTAATGAAGGAGATGAATGCTCTCTACAAAGAGAACGATGAATCACTGAGGAAATAAATTGCAGATTATGTAAACAAATGAAAAAAACATATCATACTCATGGATAAGCAGAATCAACATTGTTAAAATACACATACTACCCAAAGTGATTTGCAGATTCAATGTAATCCCCATTAAAATACCAAAATAACTTTTTACAGATTTAGAAAAAATAATTCTATGCCCCATTTGGAACCAGAAAAAAGCCTGGATAGCCAAAACAACCTTAAGCAAAAGGAACAAATTTGGAAACATCACTTTATCACACTTTAAGCTATACTACAAGGCTATAATAACCAATACAGCATATTACTGGCACAAAAATAGAGACATAGACCAATGGAACAGAACAGAGAACCCAAACATAGAACCATCCACATATTGCCATTTGATCTTTGACAAAGTAGACAGCATTATACACTGAGGAAAAATATCCCTATTCAATAAATGGTGCTGGGAAAATTGGATGGCCAATGGTGCTGGGAAAATTGGATGTAGATCCATATCTCTCACCATTCACAAAAATTAATTCAAGATGTATAACAAGATGTCTTAAACCTAAGACATAAAACCATAATAATTCTAGGAAAAAATGCTGGAAAAACTTTTAGATATCAGCCTAGGCAAAGAATTTATGAAGAAGATCCTAAAGGCAATTATAGCAACAGAAGAAATTAATAAATTGGGCTTGATTAAATTAAAAAGCTTCTGCAGAGTCAAGGAAACAATTAACAGAGTGAATAGACAACCTACAGAATGGGAGAAAGTATTCACATGGATTGACTGTTTAGGTTAACAAGCAATTGCTATGTACTGTATTTCTGCTAAGACTTTAAAGAAACTCTAGATAATTCATTGCTATTCTTCTGGAAAATTTTCCTGTGAAATAAATATTAATATTGATATTCATGCCATTGTCCATGATTCATCTGTTGTTCAGGTTGTTTTTGCAAATAACAGTTCCAACCTAAAGGAGGAGGAAGGGACTATGTACAAAGGACAGGCAAAGAAAAATTTGATGCTTAAATATTTTGTTTTCTGTTAATATTATCTATTTAAAATGTTGACATTTGTGCTATTATAAATATATCAAGTATTAAATTCTAGCTATATGAGTGGGTTGTTAGTGACAGAAAGATAGCAGGCTCTTCTCCAAAATTTGTGATATGCTTGTACTTATTGCATTACTTTCTGGTCATATTTTCTTTTTGAATATTTTTAGTTTTATTTTCCACAAAAACTAGTAAGTTCTAAAATAGTAAATATTAAGTAGATTTCACTTTCTAAAAATATTTTTGTTACCAATAACTTACCCTTTTCATCATCCCAAATATTCTTTTCTTTTTCTTTGGTAATATTTTTGGTCCTGATGAAGCCACCTTTTTAAAAAGTATGATCAATAGGCTTTAATTTTAATTTTTCTCTTTTCTATTAGCAAGGAACCAGAGATGAATCTCAAAAGGTATAATACTGAAATATCACTGGAGGAATTTTGGTGTATCAGGTATCAAATGCATTCAAATCAGGTAACAAATGCAGTCTCAGTAGTCTAGTTGATAAGGGATACATACATTAATTCTTTCCCTATTTGTTGGATAATTTTAGATTTGGTGGACTCTAAGATTTTGAGATGAATAGCTGTGAGTCCAAGTACTTTTTTTCTTTTAGATTTTCTCCTGCATTTGAACGTCACTGTGATCTCCATCTCTGACAGTTACATTCCCATATAACTTATCTCTGTCAAACCAGCTACCCTGAGGTGACAGCCAGGAGATAGTCATATACCACTGATGATGAGGTGGGCCACAGTGGGAATATGAGTTGTGCCTGGAGGTATCTATGGCATTGCACCATATTCTTCCTCAAATTTTGGATTTTTATCTCTTAAGGAAAAATTTTCAGTAAATGCCTTGGCTATTGGCCTTACCTAAACAATCCAGCTTACTCAAATATTAAATTGTACCTTTATGTTTTGCATGGTATTCATATTGTTTTATTTTGTTGATTAAAAGAAAAGTAGTGTATTAGAAATATTGCTTCTTGGATTATAGAGCCTCAAAACATTATCTACGCCCCCTTGGTGTTCCCATTATGTATTTGTGCTTAAACTTATTTCTTTAATTTTTTCCCTTGGGTTAAGAGAGATTAAAATTCAATGGACTAAATTTATTTTCTCTGCATGGTTTCAGTTTCTTCCTCATAGACTTAGGGGAAGCTTTACTGTTAGATTCATTTCATGTCATTGTATGGATCACCTTCTACTTGTCTGGTACCTCAGAGGAGTGATAGTCAGTTATTAAAAGCTAAACAACTGATTTGAAATGTGTAAAAAAATAGGGAAGAAGAAGTAGTTCTGATAGCTGATGATCGTTGCTATTTCAGAATCAGACACTTTTATCTCCAGATCCGTATCTTCTTTCTTTTTTTTTTCTTTTAATCCTCAACATACAGAGTAATGCCAAGAACACAGAAGATAATCAATAACTTTTCAAATGAAAGAAAGAATAGTAATGCCTGAAAGAGAAATAGATGTTATATTAGAAACAAGCCTATAGCTGATATTTCTGGGGCTATGGGTCAAACGTTTTATTCCTGAATGTTGGTACCCTATATGGGCCAGGAGACAGGAGACAGAGAAAGATTATGTTTACTACACTTTGCATCACCCCTGCTGCCAGGCAAAGCTGGAAACAGCAGGGATACTATGAACTTATTGGTACTTCCTGATGTGTGTAAATGGTGCTATAGCTCATCTTGCTCTTCTTCTTCCTCCCCTTATAAAAAGGATAAGCTAAATTTCATTGAGGTCTCATTAAGCACCTTTTAATCTCAGTGAGTCTGCTCAGAATTAACGGTGTAACATCAGAGCTACATATCGCTTTTCCGTTTTTCCTTTTAATGCTGCTTATCTGCGCTGTATAAACTGGAGTCAGGGAGATACCATAGCCCACCTGTGGAGACAAGGAGAAAAGAATGAATTAGACATGAACCTATATGTGAACTTACTAAACTCTTGCTTAGCAGGGATAACAGGAGAAAAGACAGTTACTCACAGTTAGACATTTGATAAGTTTTAACCAAATGCAAGTGCTATTGCTCTCAATAGTAAAATCTATTTCTAAAGACACATTGAATATGGTGCTTTATTTAGATTCTCAGCCATTCCAAGAAGGATTTTGATTTGGAATGCATATGTATATATAAAAATGTAATGAGTGGGAAAGTAAGGGGAAATTGACAATGAAGTTTGAAAAATAAGGTGTAATCTAGAGTAAAGACAGTCCCCAAGTAAAGGGTAGAACCATAGTAATAAGGTTTTTTTGGAACTGTTAGAGGTGATTAATAAAGTAGTTTCTGTATTAGTGTTCTACAGAGAAACAGAACCAAATATATATATTCATTGACCCATGCAATTATGGAAGCTGAAAAATCCTATGATCAGCTGTCTGCACGATGGAGACCCAGGAAAGCCAGTAGAGTTGTTTGAAGGCTTGAGAGCCAGAGAACTGGTGGTATAGATTCCAGTCCGAGTCTAAAGACTCAAGAAAGAAGAATATTAAGAGTAGAAGATTGATGTATCAGCTCAAGCAGTTAGTCAGAGAGCCATCAAATCCTGTCTTCCTCCACCTTTTTGTTCTATTCAGGCCTTTCATAGACTGAAAGATGCCTATCCACATTGTGTGTGTGTGTGGGGGGAGGGGACAATCCACCTCACTCAATCTATTCAATCAATTCAAAAACTAATCTCTGGAAACATGCTCCCAGACACACCCAGAAATAATGTTTAAACTGATACATGAGCATTCTGTGATCTAGTCAAGTTGATATATAAAATTAACTATCATATCTTTTATCTTCCTAATGGTCAGGACCTGCAGCTTTGTAAGATAAATGTATATGGATTAACAAGGAGACCTATTACTCTTCCTGGCATTCCAATTTGTAAGATATTTCTCTTGTGGCTTCTTATAAAGGAGAGGTAGTACAATGCACTCAGCATTTCCATAATAACTATCAGAGTACATTTCAAATAACTATTCCTGAATGAAGGTCAATGTCATGATACCAAAGCACACTTCAGTTGAGGAAATCTGAGGTGCTAAAGAAAACTGATCCCCAAACACAGTTTTCAATATCTAGATTGGTCCAAGAATAAATTTAGTCTGTAGATATATGGTTTTCAATGCTTGGTATGTTATTCCATAAGGGTAGACAAATAGATCAATGGTATGTTAAAGAGTCCAAAAGTAGTCCTACACATATATAGTCAACTGATTTTAATGACAGTATTATACTAATAAGGAAGGAAAATCTTTTCAAAAACTGGATATTCATATGGAGGAAATGAATCTCAACCACCACCTCACATCATATACAGAATACAAAAATTAATTTGTGATGAATCATAGACCTACACTTAAAAGCAAATAAAATAAGAGTTCCACAAGGAAACAGTAAAACAGCCTGACAACCTAGGAATTGACCTAGATTTATTATGTTCTATCTGAGCATTGAATGTAAAAGAAAAAATACTTTACATTCAATATCTCAAAACTTTCGTGCATCAAAAGACACCATTATAAAATGTATAGGAGGTTCACAGTCTGGAAGAATATTATGCAAAACACTTAAGGCTGCAGATTTTTATTTGACTTCCAGTTTTCTAGTTGCACAGACTGAGGAAAGCCCTCACACAGGCGAAAAGCAAATAAATGTATGTCAGACAGTGCAATTATCCTCTTTCAAGGGTGACTTCCCTCAAGTTTCTGCCAGCTTTTTGCCCTGCTCCAGTGGGTTCCGAATATAGTAGTTCTTTTAAATTTGGGACGGAGGAGTTTATAATTGTTATTTGTGAGGAGGTTAATCCAATCAAACTACTCTACAGTTTTTTCCTGTGATTCTTATAAACTCTGAAGTTTAAGGAGCACTGCCAAATTGGGAAGACTGTTTTATAAAGTTAGTAAATCTTTTCAGCCAATAATATTTTAAGATCTTATTTAGTAAATGAAAGCATAAGATAGCCCAAAAGCAGTACAAAGAAACACACTGATTCTTGGTCTTTAAATGAGATTAATGTTTAAAGATCAAACAGCATTTCTTTAAAAAAATAATTATTTTGTATGCAGTAAAAAAAATAGAGACATTAACAAATGTCCATTATTGCAATATTTATGCCAGAATCCAGAAGTTGACCTCTGAACTTTATATAATCCTACAGCTGCTTGTATGGAGAATGATTATGGAATTTGACCTGAGAAAACTAAAATATGAGTTTCAGCTCCATTTTTTTAATAGTGTTGCTGTCCTGGGCAAGTTTTGTAGTCTCTGTAACCTAGAGTACAATGAAGGTAGTAATTTTATTGGCCTTAGAAGATACTATGAAAAGTAAAGGAGGTAATAGTTGTAGGAGAATGTTGTAATTAAATAATGATATACAAATATTATTTATTGCTATTAATATTATTTTTATGGATATATCTGGAAGTCATTAATTTATAGTGTATTAACTTTTTAAAAACTTATTTAAAGAAATTTAAAGCATACACAAAGTTAACAATACAAATAAAGTGAACTCCTTGGTGCTCGTCACCTAACTTCAACAGCAAACTTCAACCTTTTTGTTTCATTTATCACAACTCCACTTTTTTTTTAAAGGAGCATTTTCAGACCTTATGTAATTGTACCTGTGAATACTTCAGAATGTTGCTCTATTGGTTGAGAATTATTTTATCTCTATTTGTTAAAAATTATTTAAAAGTCAGGTGCAGTGGTACATGCCTGTAGGCCCAGCTACTTGGGAGGCTGGGGTAGGAGGATCACTTATACCCAGGAGTATGCTGTGATCACACCTATGAATAGCTAGTGCACTCCAGTCTGGGCAACACAGCAAGACTCCATCTAAAAAAAAAAAAAAAAAAAAAAAAAAACCCGAAAAACAGGAACTATTTAAAAAACAACCACAATCAATACCATTACCCAACAAAACAAAATTAATAGTAAATCCTCAGTATCACATAATACTTAATCCATTTTCCCCATTGTCTCTAAAAAAAACGTATTTTTAAAGTTTGGCTGTTTGAATTAAGATCCATAGAAGTTCTACTCACTGGATTTGGTTGATATGACTCATGATTTCTTGTAATGTAGAAAATGTAGCTCTCTTTTCTTTTTCATGCTATTTAGTTTTTACAGCAACTAATCTGTCATACAGTATCTCCTTCATTCTGGTTATAAAAAGCTAAAAACTGGTTAATGTATAATTATCTTTCTATCTATCATCTATCTATCTGTCTATCTTCCTTTCTATAATCTTCCTGGGTATATATCTCTATCATCCATTTATACATACATACATATATATATATATATTTTTTTTTTTTCTGTCCAGAGTCATTATTCAGCTCAAAAATACAATTGGAAACATTTAGACCACATTTTATATATTATGCATGTATCTCTCCTTCAACTATATCTTTTTTCTAATCTTCTTGTTTTGGTTAATGACAAAACTATTTTTACAAACTCATTCTCAAACATAGCCAAATTATATTTTTTACTTTCCACAGTATTTCTGGTCATGCTCCTTTCTATTTCCATGAGCCTAGGCCAAATCCTTCTGAATTTATAATTTCTGTGAATGAGCAAAGAGCTTTAACAATACCTGGCACATAACAAGTATTCAGTAATATATGTTGAATAAATTAATGAAATAATGCACAGTTGAATATTATTTTAGCCAGACCATTACTCTAACCTTAGCTTTTCTCCCTCCAAACTAATATTACATTCAGCAAGATTAATTCTCCTAAAGAAGAGCTCCGTTCATATTTTTCCCTTAAGAAAAAAAATTATAAAATCCAAATTTGATCAAACTCTCTGGCCTGACATTTAAAGTTATCCAACTATCCAACTATCTTAAATTCCACTGATTCTCATTAAGAACACTATCGCGACTGAAATGCATTTCCACAAACATGACTTTCATTTTCTTCAAGAGATGGAGCATAAAAACATTTGCAGACAGTTGTACAGCAATATTATACAGTGGTCGTGAAAGTTTTATACCAAATGCCTTAAAGGATACTTGAAGTCACACTCCATTTTTGGAAACTAATAGTCTTTTCATTTCTCTCCATTTGCCCCCTACCCCCGTCTCTCTAACTAACCTCTCCCTATTTTCCTCTAGCACTTATTTTTCTCTATGACATGCACTCCTAACTTGACCTTGCCTAATGCAAGCAACCTTGGGGCCAGGGAGGCAATGACTCCTATACTCTTTTTGAGTTTTAAAAAGTTTAAAACAAGGGAAATCAGAAAAATAGCCTTTTCTTTCAAGCAGTAATAGTGTAGTCAAAAGTTCTTTTTTTTATTTTTTTATTTTTTACTGTGGTGAAACACGTAAATGGGCTTGTCCCCCGGGTAGTGCCTGACCGAGAGGGTGAGGCCTGGCATCCGAGCTTCTGCAGACCCTGAGTAAGCCCAGACCCCGCGTCCGGCTCCGAGAAGGCCAGGGCGGCTGAGGGCGGAGCCTGTCTTACGCGTCGCCCATTGACGGTGCCTGGAATGTAGGAGCCGGGGGAGGTCTTAGTTGATTGGCCAGTCAGGCCCCGGGTCTCGCCCTATCCACTCCGGTGCCTCCCCTTAACTGGCCAATCAGCACAGGAGGGGCAGGTTCCCCGGGCCAGTGCTCGGATTTGCATTGATGTTCCTCCCTCCGCGGGTAGGAGTGAGGAAATTCATATCCCTTGTTCTGTCTCATGTGCATCCCTCCTCCCCAATCTAGAAAGCAATTGAAAAGGTCTATGCAATAAAGGCTGTCGCTTCATTCCTCACCCTCCCCCCAAAACCCCAACCAAACAAAAAACAAAACACAGAACATGCGATCTACCCTCTTAACTAATTTTAAGTGTACAGTATGGTATTAATTATATGTATATTGTTACACTGTACA